TCCTTACAGGTCCCAGAGTCAACTGCGACCATGGGATCTGTAAAGGGCCCGAAACGTTGGTTTGTTTGAAAAAACAAATATACGCGATTTAAGTCCAGAAAAATGGTTTCATTTCTTATGAGCTTTTCTGTTAAGGAAAACATCGGAAACCTGCAAAGAATGTTTTTCTTTATAATATCCAGAGACGGGACGAACAAGTCGTGCGCCTTATGGTTACGCCTGTTCACAACAGTAGCAATGCCACTCAGTGCTTTAAATCGCAAGGATCTGAGGGGCACTGCCACTGCGCCCGTCACCCTGAGACATTAGTTGACAAGACCCATGTGCCTGTAATTTCACCAGCACTCTTACTTATCCTTCAAAACCGCAACAATTCTTTTCTCTTTGGAAAACGTGCGAAGCCCTCTGGGTCATCGGACTACAGCCTAAATCTTCTCTTCAGAACAGACAGTAGCGCTTAGCACATTGGGTCGGTAATGATGTGATGAATTTAAAAGCAGTTCTCGTATATACAACATCGTTTTATATTTTCACTAAGTTGACAATCTATTTCTGTTCCATTACAGTTTCTTGCAATAATACGACGACAGACCGATGATGTGAAAATAAGAGGATCATTACTTACACCGTTGTAGACAGATAATGTTGGTATAAATCGATGTTTGTAACTCAAATTTTCTTATTATGTCTTTTAGTTTGACATTACCATCTTGACGGGTAATTCTTTCTTTCTCTTATATAACATTTTTTTGTCCTGCCTCTCTTATGCGTTGAATAAAGAGATTTCCTCCATCGTCATCCCACCTTTTTGTCACCTTTTCTCTGGTTCCTGGCCACTTATTTTTGAATTTTGAATCGTTCTTTAATTCTTTTGCCTCGTCATTATCGACGGAACGAAACAAATTTCGTTCCGTCGTCACTCTCTACCTGATGTCTGAAGCGAGCACTCCTGCTCGTCTCCACCAGAAATTCTGATCTAAAATAGACAGATAGATAGATAACACGTTTATTCAGCACAAACACAAACAAAACATTTACAATCACTTCACAGAGTATAACGTAAAAGCACATAGAACATTCATTATTAATTTAATACACATTTATATAAAAGACTGTGAGAAAAACAAACAAATACTATAAGAACTGATAGAATTTTAATGTACTTATGTAGTCAGTTTACTTTAAATACTGTAGACCGAGGGAAGTCAAACAGTGCTGGTTTTCTGCCAGTACCATATGGTGAGCGATCGCAGCCCAGGTGCATCACACCAAAGTGCATCACACGCAAATATATATACCTAACTCTAAATATAAATAAAAAAATATAATCTAAAAGCGTAAAATGTATAGGAAATAATGTAAATAGTGTAATGTAGGTAAGCAATATAAATAATTATGTAAGTTTACAAACATAATATTAAATTATAACAATAGCCACCAAATATTAATATATTAATACGGAAATTCATATTTTCAGATTTAAAGGTATCAAACCCATCGAGTATGGAAATATCTATGTAGCGAGACATATCTGCTCCGATAAGATGTTTTTTTTGTATTCACGCTTAAAACGTTTTTTATTATTGACGTCACGCAATGGAGGAGGAATATCATTCCAGCACTGGCGCGATACTTGAAACCGCCGTGAAAAGTAATCGTTCTGTGTTTTGGGATGTTAATAACATTTTTAGAAACTAATCGGAACTTGTTCCCCCTTACACGTTATAAGGTAATCAAGTAACCTAAGTAATTTTTGTAGAAAATACGGCCTATTGGGGCAAGTTCTTTACTGTTTTACACATATTTCGTAGCATTTAAACAGGGAGTGTTTTTGATATTGTACGTGTGTTTTATACTATTTTTACTGTTACTGTCTTCTTTTGCCTTTTACCTTTTTCTTCTGCCTTATTATACAATACATTTACATGGAACGAATTGTCTATTTCATTACTCGCGACACTATTTACAACCTTTTCAAGTATAATGAGCCTGTGTTTCATCAGCACCCCTTTAAAACCGAAACATAGTAAAGTTTACATAACAGCTTGGCGGCAGAAATAGGTTCGGTAACAATACTTCTGTGGACCACTTCAAGTATGCGATTTTTTATCTTGCAATCTTATTTAATATTCGAGTATTGTATCGTGAAATATTATAGAATAATTACATGATACTGGAATATTTAAATAATAAAAATTGCCACGGAAATTAGAGAGTGAACACTAGTCCGAGAATGAGCCGTTTCACAAGGATCTCAACTGCTATTAAACCAATCAGCCAGTTTAATCCAACTTATCTTCCACACGCACCACTCTCCTTCATCTCCCATCGACCTAAGCCTAAAAGAATATCGAAGAGAACAACAAAGGTACAAATTCAAATAGGTCGTCTGTCTTTCGAAATTACTACAATGATTAAACTTACCATCGTAACCAATTTACACAAATCCGTTTTAGTGGAACAGTTGACTATTAAACCGATGTGGTGCTTTGGAAAGTCAACTTCAAATCATCCACAACTAACAGCTGTTACGAACGACCACTTGCTGCTGCAATATATGTATTTTTTTATGATATTAAGTGGTGTGCGTGTGGTGTAATGCGTGTGGTGGTAACTGACAGGCCTATTCATAACAATGAGAGACTTAATCCCAAAGTTGACAAGACTTACCAAACCGGAACACATTAATGCTCACATTTCTACTTGGCGGTAGAAATAGGTAAGATGGCAGTACTTCTCTGGACGCACTCTTTCACAAGGAGCTCTTCTGCTAGTAAATTTATAATATACGCCTGGCCAAACTTCACCTCACATAAATATTAATGTGAATTCATAAATTGAACAAAAAACGTTCTTGTAACAAAGGCAAAAGGTTTCTGAACCCATTTTTTGCAACGACCAAAGTAAAGCCAAAACAATGAATACAATGACAGTCAATGTAGTAATGTGTTGTAACTTTTTTTATAGAGATCTTTTATCTTTGCTGAAAATACCTCTTTAACATTGAATTATTGTATTTTGACTTTTGAAGCTGTGATTAGTATAGGATTTAGTGATTAGTCTTAGATACGTGCGTCCTTTTTTAATTATGTATATTCTGGAGGTTCACAAACCTCTTCCAATTACGTGAAGTCCCCGACTCGTGCTGGGCCATGAGTGCTTTGGCTATAATAGTGCTGGTTTCCTGATTTAGCAGTGTAACTGGGGCGTAGCTTAGGATGCGTAGCGAGAGGTACTTTTATGAATTTAAACTGGAATAATCTTCAACATATACTTTATTGTATTCTTTCACATACTTTCGGCGTTGGGTTACACTTCATCCATTCTTTTCTCTTACTTCATTTTCAAAACATTCTAATTACAAAACTATTCATTCAGCCAGTGATTCTACTCATAGAGTACAGCCTAGACTACAGTAGCTACTGCTACTAAAAGAGTAAAAGAGTTCGTCTAGTGAAGTACTTCCACATTACCTAATTTTTCTACCACCAAGCAGTAATGTCAGCTTCCCTTGTTACGAATTTGAAGGGTAAGTGTGTTTGTGATATTACAGGTACGTGGGATTTGCCAACTTATGTCTCATGGTGACAAGCTCAGTGACAGTGTCACGCAGATTTTTACGATTTCAAGCTCTGAGTGGCACTGCAACTGGATATGCGTGTCGCTTACCACCAGTCGCACGACTTGTTCGTCCTGTCATTTGGTATCATACAAAGAACTGAAATTAACAAGACAGGTAGAGAAACTTGTATTGTTATTTTCAAGGTTTGCTAAAAAGAAATAAATGGTTATATAATTAATTCAAAAGATAAAAGGCTGATGTAAATTCATCTGTCGGATCCAATTTGGGTTCGTTTGACTTGATTGTTAAATCTTTTTGTTGTTAGTTAAAAATATATGAGTAATTTCTTATTTTCACGACTCTCGCTGAACCTATCAATGCTAGCGAATGGCGAAAACGTAGTGTGACTTAGAGCTTCCATCTGTCCATAATACTCGTATTAGCTAAGTCCAAACTCATGGTACCACGATTTCGTTTACAAAGGTAAACGGTTCTTTTATGGGGAAAGTGTAAATTTTTACAATAAGATTCCGAAACATATTTTCAGATTATCATTTCCTAAGTTTTAAACTACATTAAAAGTATTTTCATTGAAAAGTCAAGATAAAGATGTATGGAACGACGACATGGCCCTATATTCCACGCAAATTTTATTCAAAATGTATTCGTTCATAGCATTTAAGATTATTTTAAAAGAGCAATTCTTCTCAGGGAAGTCAGCACAGTGAATGAGCAGTAGCTTGAATAATGACGTTTACACGTGTAAATTTATTTCACCTATGATGGAATAAATGATTTTTGCCTTTTCACTTTGCTTTAAATCGTAAACAGCTGCACTGCACTCATCACCTTTAGACGTTAAGTAGACAAGTCCCTTGTGTCTGTAGTTTCACCAGCACCCTTACCATTCAAAACCGGAAACAGTATTGCACACATTACTGCTTGGTGGCAGGAATGGGCGTTATATGTGTCTGTGGTATTGTGGCAGTACATCCCTAGACGAACTCGCTCACAATAGTTGAAATGGTTGGAATAAAAGACACATTTGAGAAATCTGTGTTGTTAAATAATTTTCATTGTTGATTGTGTTTTTAATGAATTGTCGCTAGGGATGTGAATGGACATCTCTCTATGCGTGATTGAGGAGATGAACAATTTCATTTAAAATTCGTTCCAGAATAATCTTAATGAGGTAGTGCATACGTCAGTAGTTCTTAAATTCAGATTACCTTACAATTTAAAAAATACATTACTCAATTTTTTGAAACTCCTTATTTACCTCGCGATTTTATGAAATTATTGAAGAAAGTTTATTTTCTAATTCTCTTGAAGTTTCGCGAGCGCATGTTCTGTTGTAAGTGACTTAACTTTTGTTGTTTCTCATTTGTTCCGCGATGTACCTATATAATGTTTCTTAATCTCTTGTGTCTTGTTGCAGGCAAGCCGAAAGATATCAAAATGCGGGTATCTGTTCGTGGCACCGGGCTGGGACTTCTCCAACCCACTCTACAGAACAAAGGTAAGTAAATTCGAATCACAAAGTCAGCAATAAAAGACATTTCCTTTAGTGTACACATGAAAGAATAGAGTGAATAGGCATTTTTTAGGCGAACGCGTCCCATTGTCGGTCACATCGTCGCTTAACATCTGGTGAGATTCTGGCCAAGCGTGTGTCTATTATATATTAAAATAAAGTAACCTGTTAGAGAAATTGTTAATTTTTTCTGTGTTCTTCACCATTAAGCTTAATTAACATTACTTCGGAACGGAATGGAAGCTTATTTTTTGCAACGAAATAATTACATACCATACAGGAGCCAAAAAACAGGTTGCGTGTTTTCTGGAAAATTCTCGCGCAGTCTCAGGAATTTTCGCAGCTTATTTTTCTTTATTTTATTCAATATTGAGCTACAGAACAAACACATCATGCACCTGGTAGTAAGCCACACGTTCTATTAATGACTCAGAGTTTTAAATCGCAAAGATCTAAAGGACACTGCCTCGCATAGACATAAGTTGACAAGTTTCATGTGCTCGTAATATAACCAGCATCTTCACACTTCAAAACCGGAACACAGTAATGCTAACTTTACTGCTTGACGGTAGAAATTGGTAAGGCGGCAGTACTTCCCTGAATGAATTCTTGCACAAGGAGTTCTGCAGCTTCTATACACAATTACTGCCTCATATCTAGTTTGTATAATAATAATAATAACGCACACACTCAACATAGCCCCGCACTAGGGAAACCCTGTGTCGCGGGTGCCATGGACACACACATAGACAACCACAAATTACGCCCAAACTCACAAGAGAAATAAATGTAGGCCTTACACATACATATTTCTCCCGGCCTGGGAATCGAATCCAGGACCTCTGCATGGCAGTGCGGCATGGTAACCGTTCGACCACAGAGGCAGTTTAGTATGCTAGACAATTGACATAAAAGTTTTATGCTATGTACTATTTCGTTACAAAATTCAATTACATTTCGCAGTGATGTTAATTGACGTTTACGGACTTTGGAAAATTAGCGAAGGTTTAATTACGCCATAGTCAATCAGTTATGTAAATTGCCCTCATATTGGTATGTCAAAGTTACTCCATTATCTAAAAATATATCTTAAAAGCACATCACTAGCGCGATTGTAAATCGCGATTAACTTCTCATAATTCGCTAACCTTGTCCAACGTCCAAATGACTCTGTTTTTTCTCTCTTTTTTGCATATCCGGGCGTTTAATTTTAATCCCATTAGCACGAACCCAGCCGGTAGCTTTAGTTCTTTTTGTTTTTGACTCGATCTCTTTTTTGACGTATTCTTTGAAATTGTTATTAAAACTGACAGCCCTTCAAACGGTCCACCTGAAATAGAAAGTGGTGATTCGACAAAACGACAATGGCGCGCAAAGCGAGGTTTTCGTATTGAAAAAATTATGTTGAGATGAATAAAATTAAAATATTTAGTAATTTTTTTTGCTTAAACTTAGCACTTGCTATCGTTTATAACATTTTTATTTTAAAAAAAACCGATTTCAAAAGTTTGTTTATCGGCTTTTTTATTAGAATTATATCTATTTGCGAATCGATCTTGGTAAATATCGAATTGTAAAGTGCATCCTTAGTAATGAGCATCCACAGTATTGCATCTTTTATATCTAAAAAATATTTTTTACATCGAAATTTGTAGTAAGTATGGAATTATACGAAATTCCATATTAGCCTTTTCCGCCCACGATTTTGGGCAGAAATACGTTAAAACTCTGCTCTTTGGGTAAAAACCCGGGCGGGTTGATTAGGTTTTAACCCACTGCCAATCTCTGTTGGCAACGCATAGGTAGCTCATCTGATGTTGCAGATGTCCATGGGCGACGATGACCACCTCCCATCAAGGGGCTCGTCTTCTCGTTTGCCTCCATGAAAAAAAATTGACTTTTTCGATCGGTGTTATAAAAGTAATGTTTTTTTTTCACATTAGCCCCCTTTACGCAATCACTCTATCGCGGGTGATCAGGATCGTACAGTGTTCAAAAAGTAAAGTGTTCGCGCGCGCAATCACGCAAACACGCGGTCCATCCTTTTTCCTTCCAACATCTTTACACGTGCGCTCAATCGCGCACGATTGCTGTATCACGCGCGATAGAGTGTCTGTGTAAAGCCCGCTATTTGGTCAGTTCGGTTCCCGGATAAGGCAAGTAACTTTAAAAGCTTTGAATGCCTGACGTACTGCCCTCTCGATGATGTAATGAACTCTCGGTTACGGCAGTTAGTAGAGTGATGGGTGATGTATACGCAGCATATAGTTTCGTAAGATTGGCATCACTACTTTTTTATTTTAGTTGTGCATTCAGGGTCACATTGAAGCCTTCAAATCGATTTTTTTGTCGATTTAGACCCTAATCTTTTCCAAGAAACCTTATATTTATTGCCGCCATAAACATTACTATCCCAAAGTCCTTTTTTATTATTTTCAAAAACACTCAAAACATGCGCGTCGTTATAAGAATTGAAGCTATCAATAAAAGATCTCATATTTATCGCCCCATCTCGGGAATGCAAAAAAAAAGATTTTTTTTCCGATACTTTATCATCCTTCTTGCTAAAAATTGAGAATCGATGAATCGGGTTTCGGTTTTTTTGAATGCACGTGTTAGCAAACCGCAGCTACCGAATTGATTTTGCCGCAATTTTTCGTGCGATGATTTATGTCCTTCCAAATATTTATTTTTTATTAATTATATATTCATTACTTTTTCGCGACCGTTCTAGGACTTTCACTATGTTTTACACTAAACCACACAAACAATAACAATTTACACTTACAATGCCTAATACGTCGTTTTAGTTGCACTATTATTGTGTTTCTTATATTTTTCCAACCTCTCGTTGGTCCTGAATAAAAACCAACGCCTTAGGGGACTTTGGCAGTAATTTATTTCGTATTATCAATGTTAATGTAATAATGTCAAGGGATAATGTAACCGTCATTAATATAAACAATAATACCTGATATAAAACAAATGCATAGATAGAGGTTTATTTATTTCTAAGCATACGCGGTAAATATAGTTTACATATTATTTAAAATTATTCTTAATAGTAAAGTATTCAATGTTCGCATTTATTCTTAAAGTCATATTACGTTATATAATTAGTATTTTTTAATTGAGTAATACAATTTAAAAAACAAAGATCTGCAACAAGCTCGTGCAAAGATTCGTGAGGTCCGTTGGTTCGTTCCGTGGCTTCACTGGCATAGCGTCTGACACGGTTTGCTAGGAGATGTTGGTTGGAATACAGCCAGATCGAAGTGAATTTTTCGTGTTCGATCTTTGTTGAATAATTATAAGAAACTAGTGGAGTAATTTCACAAATAATAATCAACTTTTAAAAGTGTGTGGAATTACATCCGTTTGCCAAGTTTTATTGACGACAGTTTACGGAAAGTGGTCGAAATCCAAAAAAGATTTATCCCCTGATTTGCTACCCTTGGAAGTGGAATATTTTCTTCCAATTTAAATGACGCCAGTACTGAGGTACCCTCTTTCCAAATCAGTCGAATTGACAATCTCTTCTTTTTTTAAAGTCGTTTAAAAAGAAATGTACATTTTACAAAAACAATTTGTCACAAGCAACTCAACTTAAGCTGTTCAAATAGTACTTTCTTAGATCTAGATGTAGTTAACATTTTTAAATCGTCAGGTAATACTTTATATCATTTTATTCACGTGATGTTACTAAAAAAATAGAAACCTGTTTTTAAGCTTTTGTAATTATTCCATTTACACATTCAGAAGGACTTTTATGCTTACTTTTTTTTAATATATGTTTACTTGTTGAATAATCACGCTGTATGTACCTACCAATGTTAGGTTTACATGCTATATTACAACCCTAAGGGCGAAAGATTGTGTCTAGCTGTTCCCACTAAATCGTGACGACGATTTATCGGTTCGCGGCAGCAGTTTGAAGCTGCGATTATCTGTCGACACATTTTTAACGTGACGTTTTATTCATTGTCAGACGATAGTCGTTCTAGCTCTAACCATTGTCACGACAATCTGTCGTCGTAACGTCAAAAATCGTGAACGACATTTAATCGTGTTGTACTATATGTGAACAACTTCATTGAGATATACAAGCCATGATACTTGAAACTGCACGACTATCTGTCGTCACGACATTATAGGACCGCGCCCTAAATCGTAATATCGAACCAAAATCCTCTTCCTTTTTTTGAAGCGCTCTTAACATGGAGCTATAAACACCATTCAAAAAAGGTGAAAAATCGTCTCCTTGGATATGTTCAAGAGGGAATTGTTAAGGCCGTTAATTAAAAAATGTTATTACACAGTTGATGAATATTTAAATGAGGATATAGTGTGAATTATAAATTATGTGCCTATAATTTAATGTTACATAATACAATGAATTTAAATTGTCTTGTGACATCGAATAGATTTGTTACTTGACCATGAAATGTATAAAGTAATATTTTATAAACTAATTGGATTGGACATTTAAATCGATAACTCCAATTTACACTACGCCAACTATATTTTTTGGTCATTTTCTGTTGTCTTTGTAAACAGCCATATTTATTTACTAATATTATATTCCCCGAATATTGTGACAAATAAATACAAAATTCGAAAAAAAAAATTTGAGGAAAAAAAAGGTATTTAATTAATAACTATTGTAACTATAGTGAAAAAATAGGGTGGTTTGCATTAATATTAGACATAACTGATTGAAGACTGTACCACCTCAGTCAACCGTGACCATGGGACCTGTAAAGGGCCCGAAACGTCGGTTTGTTTGATAAAACAAATATACGCGATTTAAATCCGGAAAAATAGTTTCATTTCCTATGTGTAACAATCGCGAAAACCTAATAACTCGATAGATATTTGAGGAAAATTAGATTTTGCAAATTTTGTGAAAAATAAAAAGAAACAATAAAGTCCGAACATGTCCAAAAATTAAGAGGTCAGTAAGATGTGCATCACAGCTTTGTTAA